TCTTCCAGATTGTGACAGTGAAGGCTACCAGAGGATCTAAGTTTGTCACTGGGGGTGGGGTTGGGATGATGTTAATGGGGTCAGCATCCGTTGCTGTATTTGCACGAAGATTTCTAACACGAGCACGAGCGAGTTACTAGAGGATCGACAACATGGAAAGCAAAGAAGGGCAACCACAATAGCTGCGTTTTACTTCTTGGAACTTTAGGGGGGTATCGAATAAAATAAATAGTTATCATAGTATCTGCATCCCAAGTTGCAGTTTTTAAGAGTTCACTTTGGTGTAAGAACCTGTGAAGTTTATCTGTGTTTTATCACTATCATTTTTCTAGGCTTATTTGTTTTCGCGTTTTTGCGTCCCGCGTTAATCATCAATCGTAAACACGACAGTTTTATACACCGAGGCCGGGCCGAGCTCACATGATAATTCTGTAGGCATAATTAGTGAGCCGTGCACGCTGCGAAAAAAACTTGCTTTGTAGCGGCACATTCGAACACGTACGGTTATAAAAATGTCCTTGAACGATTACTTACAAGTACCAAGTTGCTTTAGCAAACTTCGCAAAATATGAGTATCTCTTGTTTCCTCAATGCAGTATTAACGACAGAAAAATTTATTCCATATTTTCATCTAACCTCTGTTATGAAACGCCATAGTAAAATAAATGATTTCAAATCGTAGACAGTATAAGTTAGAGAATCATACTATTGTTACACGGGGTTCTCTTATCTAACACCCGTCCCAAAGGTCAAACCAGTCACAGGTGACGGGGACTTGAGACCTATCGCCTTTACTCCAGTGCTTTCTAAGGTGCTTGAAGATTTCTTTGTCGAGTGGCTGATAGACGACGTTAAACATGATATTGATCCTCAACAATTCGGCAGCCTTAAAGGTACTTCTACAACCTACTGCCTATGGGATATGCCGCACAACTGGCTGTCGTTCCTTGACTGTCCTGGCAAGTTCCTCCGTTTGGGCTTTCTAGACTTTAATAAAGCATTTGATCATGTTGACCACACCATCTTGGTGAGCAAGCTAATCCATCTAGGTGTTAGATAGAAGATGGTTGATCAGCTGGATTTGCAGCTTCCTCAGTTGCCGCCGCCAGGCTGTTAAGCTCTTGGACTCCATCTCAGGGTGGATGCCCGTACACGCCGGTGTCCCCCAGGGCATCAAATTGGGTCCAATTCTTTTTCTGATAACGATTAATGATCTGGCTATTCACTCCCCCCTCCGCTCGAGCCACTGGAAGTACGTCGATGATGTAACAATATCTGAGGTTACCAGTTTGGGGAAAGCGTCATTTCTGCAGAACGACATCGGCTGCATTTCATAATGGACCCAGGAGAACAACATGAATCCCAACCCCAAAAAATGCAAGATCATGACC